TTCTTCCACAAAGAAAGGCTCAGGCCTTTGTGTGTGTTTACTGATGTGAGGTTGCCGAGGTCACATGCCATAATTTATTGTAAAAAAAACTCCAATGTTTAGAAACCACACATCAAGGGGGGGAGGGGATGTCCAAGGTTCCAAAAGAAAACGAAAGAACAAAAGGCATTGACTCATTGGATGCTTTTCTTAGTATATTTTACTTAAGAAATACTTTGAAATTAAGTGTTTGATAATTTTAGTAACAAATAAGTTATATCAAAACTAAAAGGTAGACATTTCAGTATGATGAAATGACTGATTTATTAAGATGTGGGTAATATGTCTTCTACACTAACTTGCTAAAGCCCTTTGTAAAAAATAATGACTAATCAAAGTTCCTGTATATAGGTAAATGCAGGCTTACCTTGTGTGATCAAAGCAAATGCTTTACTACTAACCATGTGCATGTATGTAGCCCCAGGGGAGGGGGGTATTCAAAGCATTGCCTCTCAATTTGAAGGTTTGGGGGAGTGCTAACTCTTCCTCACTGGCATTGCCTAGCAGTCTACATTTAAGGTTCTGAGGAACTAGTCCTTAATTACTGGGGCAAAAGTGATTGCTGATTACTGATTGATCACCAGAAACTGGTGTCTATGGGAAAAGTACAATTTGGTAATCTGCAACAAATTAGAAAGATTGAGTGGTTACTATTTTGTGAGTACAGTTATGTGCTGATATATTGTTTATGATTTACTAAAGCCAAGCTGAAGATGGGAGAAGGAAAGCAGCCAGGCCAGTATATCTCTACCAAGCTGAAATGGCAATCCTGTCCCCATAAATACTCAAAGGAAAAAGCTCTCAGTTCCTGTCTCTTCCTCCTTTTACTCCTTTCTCCGCCCAGCCATAGCCTCCTATCTCCACCTCTCTAGTGCTGGGATTAAAGACTTGTGAGCCCAGGTTCTGAGATCACCTTTGTGTGAGCTGTTTCTTTTAGGACTGGATCAATTTTGTGTAGTCAGTGTGGCCCTGAACTAATAGAGAACTGTCTATCTCTTAATCTTGAGTCCTGGGATTAGAGATACCACCGCTACTTGTCTTCTATGGCTAACTTGTATGGCCGCTTTGCTCTTTTGATCTCCAGTGGCTTTAATAAATCATAAACAATAGATCACCACACAGTTAAGGAATTAGGAAACAGAAAATGGTCCACCAGTCATTTTTTGGACTAAGAGATGGGTAAATGGCAGTAAGTTTACGATTGCACTACACATAATGCATTTTTTCCTTGGGATTCAGGTCCTAGATTGTATTTTACCTGGGCACCACTCAATCCTCTTCGACTTTGCTTAACCTCAAAGGAGACTTGGCTAGTTTTCTTTGCAACCAACATCCCATTAGGAAACTTTTTTTTTTTTTTTAACCAGTCCTTCTCTACAATTTAGTGTATTCCCACTGGGTAACTTCCATTCAAATGATTTATGTGAATTATGTTTCTAAAGTGTTTTCCTTTAAAGGCAGCTAGAAACAGCAGATATTCTTTAATTTCCCCTCTTAACTGCCTTTCTTAGACATTCCATTGAAAAGAAAATCATTGTGTATAATTCAAAAACCTTTCAAATTAATTGAAATCCTGGAGTTTTCTGTCCTGGCTTTCAGTTACTGAATCTTCACTTTAGAAAATTGCCGGTGCTTGCAATCTATCCAGAAATTTTTGTTTCCTTTCCTGTGTATTTGGAAATAACTTTTTAAAGAGGGGTGGGTGGAGACTGGGAGGGATCAGTGCTCAAGTTCAGATTGTGTCCCTTTGATGCCCTGTGCTTTTTTTCCCTCCCCTTCCCCTTTCTTAAGCTCTGACATCAACAACCACTACTTGCAATATTGCTGTCACTTTTTATGCTGCATGGAGCTAGTTCCCGGAGT